GCGGCGGCGGCGGCGGCGGCGGTGTTGCGGGCTGGGTGGACGGGGAAGCGGAGGAAGACCCGGGGGACAAGGTGCTGTGGGGGCGAGCGAGCAAGAGCCTTCCCCGCCCCTCGACGCCGCGGAGGTCTACCGAGCAGCTGGCGACGCTGCAGCGCGACGAGCTCCTCAAGCAGGCCGGGGGAGATATAGGGAGATGGGGGGAGATAGGGGGAGATATGGAAGCTCCTCAAGCAGGCGGAGATAGGGGGAGATAGGGGGAGATATGGGGAGGTATGGGGAGACATAGAAGCGCCTCGAGCAGGCGGAGGCGGCCGAGGCGGCGGCGCGGGGGAAGCACGACGCGCGGCCCGAGCACCCCGCGCGCTGGCAAGGAGAGGGGGGGGGCGGGGGTGGCGCGCCGCCGGGGCGAGATTCGCCAGCCGTTTCACCGGGTGAGCTGGCTCGTGGTTCAGGCCATGCGCCGATGGACTCGCGCGACGGGCGGCAGCAGAAGCGGCGCGCTCGAGCACCGCGCGCCGGGGACGCGCACAGGTCTGGGGGGGGCGGGGGGCGAGCTCACCGCTGTGCTACCGACTCGTATAGGTGCGTGCAGCAGCTCCGCGTGGCGGGGCGGGGACGGGCGGAGAGAGAGAACAGTCCGTTAACCGACGGCCGAGATTGCTCGTCCAGGCGCAAGATGGCGTGGACACCCGACGAGGACGCGAAGCTGCTGCTGGCCGCCATCCGCGCGCTGCGGCGGCGGTCTGACAGTTAGTTAATTATTAAGTAGGTGTGTTAATTAATTATTATTAACAATTAGTTAACGGCGGTCGTCTAACAAAGGAGCTCTTGTTTGCTCCTCTAGGACGCGAATATCCTGGCCGCCATCCGCGCGCTCGGCTCGCGGAGACATGCCCCTAAGTCCCATCTCGTCTCAGAGTTTGACCGCGTTATTTGTTGAAGTATTCAGGCACGCAGTGGGCGCTCATCGCGCAAAAGCTGGAGCGCAGCGCACCGCGGACGGACGCAGTACAGTTAGCCGCCAGAGGTGAGGCATTCACACCGCGATGCTCGTGTCCCGTCACAGGAGCACCGCACGCCCGACGCCGTGCGGAACCGGTGGCACCATCTCCAGCAGTCGCTCAACCTCAGCCACGTCGGGCAGCACGGTGTGAACAGCGTCTCTTCACACCTCTGGCTGTGAACAGGTCGCTCAACCTCAGCCACGTCGGGCAGCACGGTGTGAACAGCGTCTCTTCACACCTCCAGCTGTGAACAGGTCGCTCAACCTCAGCCACGTCGGGCAGCACGGTGTGAACAGCGTCTCTTCACACCTCTGGCTGTGAACAGGTCGCTCACCCTCAGCCACGTCGGGCAGCACGGTGTGAACAGCGTCTCTTCACACCTCTGGCTGTGAACAGGTCGCTCAACCTCAGCCGCGTCGGGCAGCACGGTGTGAACAGCGTCTCTTCACACCTCTGGCTGTGAACAGGTCGCTCAACCTCAGCCACGTCGGGCACGATTCGGCGGCGGCGTCCGCCGCAGGCAACTCGTGATGCTCTTTGTGGGCCGCGGTCCCCCGTGCGCCAACGCCCTCCCTCTCTTCACACCTCCGGCTGTGAACAGGCACCGCGATGCGTGTCAACGCGGAGCCAATCAAGGAACAGTGTGAAGTGTCGATTGCTTAAGATTCATCAACAGGCACCATGATGCGTGTCAACGCGGAGCAGCCAGCCCCCGCGCCCGTCCCTCCCCCGGTGCCGCTCGCCGCCATGGCAGGGGGTCTGACAATGCCTCCGCCGCCGCTGCTGCCGGCGCTTGCTCTCGGCGAAGGTACCACACCACCCACGCGGCTGAACCCGCACTGGGTTCGGTACTCTGGAGGTATGGTAGTAGGGATGGTGGTGGTGCACAACCCGACGGGTGGCATGATGGTGGAGGTTGCTGCCGAGGTGCCGCCGACAAGGACTAGCGACGAGGGAAGGACACACTCGAGTGATGGGCACTGCCGTGACGATGGCTGCTGTGACGAGGAGATGCTGCCATGAGGATGCTGTAGCTTACGATGGCTGCTTTATGACCTAGTACTATGACCTAGTACCCACCGCTGCCGCCTGCACGTGCGAGCAGGTGCCGTCGACGCGCATCACGGGCGCGGCGCATGGACGCTCCCGTTGGACGGCGCAGGAGGACGCCGCCATCGAGGAGGGGGTCGAGCGAATTGACTGTCCATTCGTGAATTAATTATTAATTAGGAGGACGCCGCCATCGAGGAGGGGGTCGAGCTGCACGGCCAGAAGTGGCGCAAGGTCGGGACGATGTTAGCTGCTTAATAATTCATACGTCTTGATTAATCAACAGGCCTGAAGTGGCGCAAGGTCGGGACGATGTTAATTAGTTAGTAACTAAGACTTATTGATTAATTAGCAGGCCTGAAGTGGCGCAAGGTCGGGACGATGTTAACTGCTTAATAATTCATACGTCTTGATTAATCAACAGGCCTGAAGTGGCGCAAGGTCGGGACGATGTTGATTAGTTAGTAACTAAGACTTATTGATTAGTTAGCAGGCCTGAAGTGGCGCAAGATCGCGGCGATGCTGCCCAACCGCTCCGACTCGTCGATACGCAACCGCTGGATGCGGCTGCAGGAGGGGCTCGCGCGTGAGGCCTGTTAGTTAATATTCAATTCATGATTAGTTGATGATTAATCAACAGGAGGGGCTCGCGCGTGAGGCCTGTTAATTAATAATCAACTAATGATTAGTTCAATACTTAATCAACAGGAGGAGCTCGCGCGTGAGGCCTGTTAATTAATAACTAATTAATGATTAGTTGATGATTAATCAACAGGAGGAGCTCGCGCGTGAGGCCTGTTAATTAATAACTAATTAATGATTAGTTGATGATTAATCAACAGGAGGAGCTCGCGCGTGAGGCCGGCGAGAGCGGCGCCGCCCCGCGCGCCGGCGCCGCCATGCGGGCGCTGGCAGCCAAGGAGGAGCCACAATCTCCTACAATCTCCCACAATCCCCCACGATCTCCCCTGCAGGCGCCGGCAGCCAAGGAGGAGCCACAGACAATCTCCCCATATCTCCCTCCATCTCCCCACAATCTCCCATGCAGGCGTTGGCCGCCAAGGAGGAGCCACAGACAATCTCCCCATATCTCCCTCCATCTCCCCACAATCTCCCATGCAGGCGTTGGCCGCCAAGGAGGCGCCCTGCACCGCCTCCGCCCCCGGCCTCCCTCCCCCAACCGCGCTGCTAGCCGCGCGCGTCGTCGACAACGGCAAGGCCGAGGACGTCCCGGCGGCGCCCGGCGGCAGCACGGAGCTTGTCGCCGCGCTGCAAGTGAGCAGAGCTAACGAATGGCCAGCCGCTAGCACACCTAGCGAGGTAAACCACACCCAACAGCGACGGAGCGTGACGCGCTCCAGGACCGGCGCGCTTGCTCCGCCGCCGCCGCCGCCTCCCCCGCCTCGGCGCTGCCGCGCATGGCGTCCTGCTGCGGCGGCGGCGCCGCCCCCGCCGGCGCGGCTGGCGCTGGGTGCGGCGGTGTGTTCGCTGGCGGCGGGTCGGTCGGTGGCGCCGCTTGTGTCGGCTGCCCAGCGGCTAGTTCCCCGGGCGCTGCCGGCGTGCTGCCTGTCGGCGCGGCGCCGATTGCGCGCAAGTGCAGCCAAGAGCCGATTGCGGAGGTGCTCGCGACCATGGCGGGCGGGGAGAGCGGCGCGGGGGTGCGCGCGCCGTGGCGGGGGGCGCATGGGGTGGTGTGAGCAGCGTCTCTTCACACCTGCAGCTGTGTGAAAACAGGTGCGCGCGCCGTACGGCGGCGGCGCCCTGTTCCCGCGTGGCGCGCCGGACCCGCCAGACGCGGGAGCGGGCGGTGGTGGGGGTGAGGGGAGGCGCTGTTCACACGGCTCGCCGGGGTGTGAACAGGCGCCGACCCGCTCGACACAAAGCTGGCGGGCATGATGGTGTGAACAGCGTCTCTTCACACTTGCAGCTGTGAACAGGCGCCGACCCGCTCGACACAAAGCTGGCGGGCATGATGGTGTGAACAGCGTCTCTTCACACTTGCAGCTGTGAACAGGCGCCGACCCGCTCGACACAAAGCTGGCGGGCATGATGGTGTGAACAGCGTCTCTTCACACTTGCAGCTGTGAACAGGCGCCGACCCGCTCGACACAAAGCTGGCGGGCATGATGGTGTGAACAGCGTCTCTTCACACTTGCAGCTGTGAACAGGCGCCGACCCGCTCGACACCAAGCTGGCGGGCATGCAGCGGGTGGCGCAGGCACATACATCGGCGAGATCTCGGCAGATACCTCGGCGAGATCTCGGCGAGATCTAGGCAGATACCTCATCTCGGCTGTACCTCGGCGAGATCTTGGCTGTATCTCGGCTGTATCTCGGCTGTATCTCGGCTGTATCTCGGCTGTATCTCGGCTGTATCTCAGAGATGCAGCGGGCGGCTGGCAGGCTCGCCTCGAGGCACACGCGGTCGAGGAGGGCCGGCTGCACGACCAGGTGGGTGGGCTGGCGGCTAGAAGTGAAGGAAGTGACTCCGAGGGGAACTAGAAGCTTCCAGCCGCCCAGTTGCGCTAGAATGAGAAGAGTGGTGAGACGTCTCAACGCGAGAGTGTCTAGAAGTGGTTCTCCGCCACCGGGTACACCAGCTAGATGAGAAGTAGCAAGATGCACGAGCAAGGACAGTCTTCGCCACGACCAGGCGGCGCGGCACGACGCGACGCAGACATGGGCCGCCGGCCTCGCGCAGCAGCAGGCGCAGCACTACCTCGCCGCGGCGCCCTCCCCCGCCAAGCCACGCCCCCGCAAGGAACGACGCAGGGGCGGCGGGAGGGCGGCGGGCGGCGGGGAGCGGCGCGGCGGGGCGGGCGAGGGCGGCCCTGCGTACTCCGACGCCGCGGAAGATGGGCGCGAAGATGTCTACGAGGCGTGGCAGCGGGGTGGTGATTCGTAGCTCACAACGCTACTCCTCCCTCGCTATAGGCGCGAAGACTTCTACGAGGAGTGGCAGCGTCAGCAGTGGGCGCAGCGGCAGGCGCAGCAGACTGCGCAGTGGCAGCAGTGGTGGCGGCAGCAGCGGCACGAGGCGCCCGCGGCCATGCAGGCCGCCACTCCGCCGCAAGGCCCGCCGCGCAGTGCCAAGGAGGAGCAGGCGGCGCTGCGCGCGCAGAAGCGGCTCCGCACGTCCATGGCGGAGGCGGCGCTGCTCGCTTCGCCGCTGGCCTTCAGCGGATCGGGCGGGAGATAGCCGAGATACAGCCGAGATGTAGCCGAGATACAGCCGAGATATAGCCGAGATATAGCCGCTGGCCTGCACCGGATCTGGGCGAGCAGCGCCTCGGAGCAGTTGATCCGCCCGCGGCCACACCGTTCAGTCAATGATCCATTGTTAGTTGTTACTTTAGGCGAGCAGCGGCTCGAGCTCCCGCGGCTAGGCCGCGCCAAGAGGGGCGCGGGGCCAGGGGGGGCGGGCGTCGGGCACTTCGAGCCGCGGCCTACCTGGCCGCCTTCCTGCGGCGTGCACCAGCCGGGCATGCCTTCGGGCGCGGAGCCGCCGCCGCTGGCGATGAGCGACTCTTTCCTCGCATCTCCGTATGCCGCCACCGCGCTGCAGGCCGCGCACACTGTGGTCCGGGTTTCGGCCAGCCCCGCGGGCCCGTAATGAATGACTAATGAGCTCAGTAATTAATCAGGCCGCGCAGTGCTCCGTCGCGAACGGCCAGCCGCACCACTCTCTCGCGGCCATGGAAGGCCACCCGCCCCCTTCCCAGCGGCATTCGGTGAAACGTAAGGATTCGTCACTGGTGGGATGACCGCAGCTCGTGTGTTATTATTCTAGGCCACCCGCCGTTCCAGCCGTACGCGCCGGCGGCGGCGGGCGGCACGCCGTGGCAGGTGGGCGACTGAGTTGCCGTTGATGAGAGGGAGGCGCCGTCCACACAGAGCCCCGCAAGGGGGGGAAGGGGCGGCGGCGGCGGCGGCGGCGAGGGGGCGGCGGGGGGAGGGGGGGGGGGGGGGGGCCCCCTGAGGTTGGCAAAAGTGGGCGGCTAAGGGGGAGGCAGCGGGCAACTCTCCCCCGTCCGTCCAAAAAAAAGCGCAAACCCCAAAAGCGGCGTCCCCAAGGGGAAGTGCGGGGACCCCCGAACGGGGGAAAGGGGACTCTGGGAAAGGAACGGCCCCCTAAAAAACTTTATCTGCGGTCTGGCGGTAGAGCTAGAGGATAGTGGGTGAAATGGTCCACGTAAACATTCATTTTCAAAGCCCCAAACCCAAACTGAATCTCGAGGCGTTTGAGAGGCGTTTTCGTTCGGCGTCTATGATGACGGTGACAACCGGTAGATCGCTCCTCGAGGGATGGAAGCGATGGATGTTTGCACTGCTTGGGGGCCTCAGGGCCCGGACTGCTTGGCCCTGGCGATGGAGTTGCAGCCGGGCGCGCCGGACGCCGCCGCCGCGGCGGCGGCCATCGAGTCGCCCGGGTCGCGCGGGGTACCCCGAGTCGGCCATGGCAGCTTGGACCTGAACATGTCCAGGATGGTGGATAGGTACTTGGGCAGACCTGGGGCTCGGACGCGGCGCTCCCCCGTGCTCCCCGGGCGCTCGTCGCTTCCCTCGGCGATGCTCTTTCTGGCCGACCCGGTGCGCGCGGCCACAGATCACGTTCTCTCACGTTATGGCCCTCGGCGCGCTGACGCTCGCTCGCGCGCCTGCGCAGGAGAAAAGCTTCTGCCTGCCATCACCTCCACGGGCGAGAGGTTCGTCGAGTCCGGCAACGACCACGCCACCAGCGACACGGAGGTGCTCGTCATCGCCCTCCTCGTGATCCTCTTCGAACCCAGCCCCAATGAGACCCAGGAACGGGCTGCTTTGGCGCGCGCGCGCGCACGTGCCGTGCAGAGCGGGCCAGCTGGGCGACGGCGGCGGCGCCCGCCGGCTCCGGCCGCTCCTGGGCTCCTGGCAGTCTTTTCCCAGCGGCTTCGCACGCGCCCCAACAATCCCCCTGACGGCAGCGCCTCACGGCGTGGGCTGCGAGGTCACTCGGGGTGACCCAGGGGGCGGCGGGGGAGCAGTCTCCCGCCGGAGTAGCGGGCGGTCTTCCCGCTACTCGCTCGTATTTGAGGTGCATCCATGCCCCGCCCACCAACTTCCCGGCAGCACCACCCGCTCGGTGACGCCCTCATCTTCTCCCCCCTGCATCGCCCCCCCCTTCAGGCGAGCGTGTTTTGCGTGCAAGAGGCTCCTTTGAGGTGGCGGCCAGCCGCCGCTTGCGGCAGGAGGGCGCCCCCCGTCGCGTTCGAGGGCAGGACGGCACCGGCTCACGCGGGCCGGCTCTCGCGGGTCGAGAGCGCAGGCGAGCCCCCCACCCTCCTAAAAAAAACTGTTCCTGTTACGAAAAAGGAGCTACTGCTCCGGCGACACTAGGGACTCGGGCCTGATCCCGCACAAAACATCTCCACACTCTCTCCTCTCCTATGACACGACTCTCCGACCTTGGGCTAGATTCCCATTTGATTCACCCCAAGCGCCAAACTGCTTCGCCGCGCGCTGCTTACAGCGTCAAGTGCGGCCCTTAGCTGAGTATAGCTCGAAGTGGGCGTCGAGGGGGCCTATAGTAGAGTGTGAGCCCGCGCGCTGCAAAGCTCGAGTGTGGGCGATGGCGCGAGCTGGGCCATGTACTAATTGCGTGTGACTGTTTCTGCCGTCTTTGAGGGGGCGTGGGCGTAGGAGTGGCGCTCTGCTACCCTTGCAGTCGAGCGCCTTCTCTCAGCTCCATTGCCTCTAGGGGGTTGTGGCCGTGGATTTGGCCCCCTAGCCCCCCTCTCCGAGAGCAGGCCTGTCCAGTCTGTGTGGGTGGGGCGCATTATAGCGCCGTCGAGGTGTGAATCTTTCCCGCCGATGTTGGGGTGTTGCCGAGGTGGCGTCTCGGGGTGTCGCCGTACGCGGAAGGTAGGCGAGCGGTGGTGGGGTTCCGGGGATTTGTCGAGGGTGGTAGTCGCCTCTGGTCGCGAGGTGTGAATGGAGCTGTGTGTCAGCTCTGACTAGATCTCGCGTGATATCCGCCGTGTTGGCGGTTTCAAATTCAGGCGAGGGGTTTGGTTGGTGAGGGCGCGGGTGGGGCGCGTCCGAGGGCTCGCGGGCGAGGGCGAGTGCCGAAGGCGGTGTAGCGCGCCTCAGACCGAGGTCTGTTTGCGCCTGGTCGCCTGCATAGGGTCGATCTCGGCGGTTGAGTTAGTGTTGGCATCCCGAGTGAGGTAAGGGTGACTGAGCCGTGGGCAGGGCTTATCCGGAGCCTGCAGAGCAGCGGAGCCGGCTGCGGACGTGGAGAGGTGCCTCCGTGTCTAGGTGTGAATAGGGGTCCGCTGTGATCATTCACAGTGGGGGGGGGTGGTCTTCTCGCCGGGGCGGGGAGCCGCAAGGCGGCTGGCACGAAAGACCGCCGGAAGGACGGCCGTCTCTTGAGCACTAGTACCTAGATATTGCAAAAGCTTTTGTCGCTAACGCTTCGTGCTCGTGGCGAGCTGTGGCGGCCGGTCGAAGTTCGCCCAGATTCGTTCGTTCGGAGACGAGCGCCCGACGATAGTAACCTGTGCACAGTCGCCATTCTTGCCTGTGCACAGTCGCCAGAGCACCACCACGCCACCGGCATCGTACGGCTTTATCAGGAAGCAACACGGAGCTCCGTTGGACGTTTTCAAGATTAGCGTGTCAGAGTGAACTGGAACTAGCCCCTGCGCTCACACGCGCTCCACGAATCGCACCATCTCCCGCGTCGCCGCCTCGGCGCGCGGCACGGCGTGCCCCTCCCCGTGGCGCACCACGGCCGGGCCCTCAAACGACGCCTCCACCCGCCGGCACAAGTGCGCGTGCGGCTCGGCGGCGTCGTACACGTGCAGCGACGGCCGCGCGTCCCTGCGGCCGGTCGACGGCCCGCGCCCCCGCGGCGGAGGGATGGCGGAGAGGAGGACGGCCCACCGAGCGCCGGGCACAAGCAGCGCCATCGCCGCGCCCTGGCTGAAGCCGATGACGCCGTCGAAGGCGCCGCCGCCCTCGCCGCCCTCGCCGCCCTCGCCGCCCTCGCCGCTCCCGCCCCTTCCGCCTGCGGCGAGCGCGGCGAGGCGCGCCATCGCCACGTCGAAGCCGTGCTCGTAGGCTGGCCGCCACGCCGTGTCGTACGCTCCTACAGGAAAGCTCCGAGAAGCGTCGGGGAAGCGACTTGCGCGAGAGGGCCGCCCCGCCCCGCCGCCACCCTCCTCCCGGGTCGCCCCACCACTCGTAGCCGAGGAGCCCCTCCGGCACGCCCGGCTCTGCAGGCCCGCTGGCGGCGGTCGGCGCGTCGACAAAGGTAAAGTCGTACGTCCCGCCGAGCGCGCGGGTGAGAGGGCCGAGCGAGAGGGCGAGCATGTCTCCACTCGCCCGGAAGCCGTGCAGGCAGAGCACACGCCGCCGCGACACCTCGCGAGCCAACAGATCCGGGGCCCGACCCCTCATCGCCGCGTCGGCCGGCGGCGGCGCCGCGTCCGACAGCGCGGCCTCGCCGCCGCCGGCGGCGGCGGCAGCGTGCGGGGCGGCGTCTCCCTCTGGCGCAGTGGCGCCGGCAGAGAGCGATGCGACGAGCGCGGCGAGGGAGGCTTGCGCCTGCATCTCGGGTGAGCTCGGGTGAGCTCGGGCAAGCTCGGGAAAATCTCGGGAAAATCTCGGGTAATCTCGGATAATCTTGGGTGATCACGGGCGATCTTGGGCAATCTCGGGTGATCTCAGTCAATCTCGGTCAATCTCGGGTGATCTCGGGGGATCTCGGGCAAGCTCGGGCGCGAGGGAGGGGTGCTGCGCCTGTAGGTCGGCGACAGAGACGAGGCGGCCCGTCCTCGCGCCGAGGCGGTGTGCGAGGGAGATGAGGTCGAGCGAGTCGAGCCCGAGGCCTGCTCGAGAGGGGCCGAGGTGAGGTCGAGAGACTGCCCGAGGTTGCCCGAGGTCGAGCGAGCCGAGAGGAAGGCCTACGGCAAGGCGACGCGAGAGGGCGTCGAGAGGAGGACGTTGAGAGGAGGCCGAGGAGTGGCCCGAGCCGCGCTGCCCTCGAGGCTCAGACTGAGATCGAGCTCGGCCGCAGCGCCGCCCTGCCCCGCGTCGCCGGCGCCTCCAGACAGCCAACCGTCCCGAGATGAGCCGAGATCCCCCGAGATTGCCCGAGGTCAGCGTCGGCGGCGGCGCCTCCGAAGAGCATCTCGCGCACGGTCGCGAGCAGCCACGCCGCGGCCTCGCCCCCCCCTTCGTGTAGGTCCCTCCCGACTACCACGTGGGCCCTCCCCAACGCCAGTAGTCGGCTCCACTGCCTCGGCCAAGAGAATGTCCCTTCTGGCTCTCACGTTCTTCCTGCTTGTACATTTACCAAATGTTACTCCCTTATTCTCTTCGAAAATACTTTACCGCGGGGGTCATCCA